CTACGGAAAAGTCACATATATTATTTTGATGGATTATAATATCTTCTATGTTCCTCTCTTCCTTTGTCAATGGGCAGTAAAGGGCAATGGAGTGAAGATAGAAGATGGGTTCACACTTGTTAACATGTCTCGTAGTCAAGCGTCATTTGCAAGTGACCCATACATACTAGCATCTCAAGCGAAGCAGGTTTTTTACTCTAGAGAAGACGACTCATCAAACTGGTATATTGTCATGAAAGGTCCTTCTAGAAGATATAGTAAGAAAGATATGCAAGAAGGAAATGCAGACATTGGGCCATTACTGTCGGATGTTGACATGGACGTTAACATTGATGAAGCTGAGAATGCTAGAAATGATTGCGAAGGGATATATGTGTGAAACATAGCTTTTTTTTTTGTATTTGAGTGCTAGTTTGCTTTGTCTTTTTGAGTGTTTCTTTGCTTTGTCATTGTGTGCTTGTTTGAGATTTTCGTGTGATTGCTTTAATGTTGTGTTGAGTAGATTTAACTCTGTTTTCTTATAATTTTCAGGTAAATTGACATGGGAGGTAAAAAAAGAAAGGTGGAAAGAAAGGAAATAAGAAGTCAAAAACGGTCGATGAAGAAGTTGAGTTTGTTTGTACTGTCCAAACACGTCAGCAAACACAGCAAGAGCAGGATGGTGACGAAGCAGAGCAGGATGTGCAAGACCAACAACAAGAAGTGCAGGACCAACAGCAAGATGTGCACGATCCAGAGCAAGATATGCAGGATGGTGATCATGAAAAGGAGCAAGAAAAGGAGCATGATCAGGAGCCACAACAAGTGCAGCAAGTTTTTCACGAACATGAAGGTGAGATAGAACATACTCTGGAGCCTGAGGTTGCAAGCTGTCGTAAAAGAAAGCGTGGACCAACCATGATGAGAGACTTGGCCAAAGATCCAAATACCAGAGTTCATGTGGATTTCACTTTTATGGGAGAAGCATATGGTCCTGGTTCAGTGAAGCTGTCTTCATATTTAGGTCCCTTGGTAAGAGAACACGTCCCTGTTACAGTAGAGACTTGGAAAAAAATCACTGAAGAAGTGAAGACAGTGCTCTGGAAATCAGTCCAGGTAATTGTTTGTATAGAATGATTACTAGAATTATATATTCAAGTTACTGATTGCTGGTTTGTTAATTATTTTTGCAGGCAAGGTTTGAAGTTGATGAGGAGTACCAAAGAGTTGCAGTTCTGAAGCAGATGGGAGCTTTATGGAGGTCATCCAAGACACGACTAGTAACCCAAATCAATGAAGATGAAAATAACCAACAAAGAATGAATCTCAGGCCCAAGAATGTGCCTCCAGTTGAATGGCGCAAATTTGTGAAGCTAAAGACAAGCCAAGAATTCAAGGTATACATTCCGAGTTGTTTAAGCTCGTCATTACTATCAAGATTACATGTTAACATACAAAATGATAGGTTCTGAGTGATAGCTACAAGGAGAGGAGACGCAAACAGATTGCTCACACTTGTAGTCGAAAGGGAATGGTTCGACTAGCAGAAGAAATGGTAAGCACACTATCTTGTCCTTTTAAATGTTTTGACAATGCAAGTTGACATATAATATTTTCCATAGAAAAATAGTTCTGAAGACCCATCTGAAGTGTCAAGACTTAAAGTCTGGGTGAAGTCACGTATAAGAAAAGATGGAACTCCTATAAACACTAATGCCGCTGAGAAGATTGTAAGTTACATACATAATCGGTAACTCTTATTATAACATACTTTTAATGTTTCTGGTTAATGTTTTTGTGGGTTGCAGCAAAAGGCTGCTGAGATTGCTACCGGTGCTAAGCAGACTAGTAAAAACGAAGAAGAAGACACACTCATCCAGGTTTTAGGACCTGATAATCCTGGTCGTATGAGCGTAATGGGGAGAAATGTCAGTAAGAAAAAATTAGCTTGCTTCAATGTCAACCACAAGTCTATTTCTGAAATGCAAGAGAAGCAATTGCATCTCCAGCAAAAGGTTAACGAGTTACAGTCTGAACTTGCGAAAGTTAAAAACCAGGTTAGTTACATCTTGAAGAATAAATTAAGACATATAAGTGGTTAGATTGAGAAAATTATGCTGTGTTGCGTTTATGTTTCAAAGAGAAGACAATGAGGTTGGGGAAAACTCGGCTGCTAGAGTAAGTTGTTATCATATAAGCTGATTAGCTAGATGACAGTCTCACATTTTTTCCTACTGTCCATTTAACAGAGTGTGAACAAGATATCTCAGAAGAGGTGTCTTTTGATTGATTGGACTGATGAAGAAGGGAACGTTGGTGAAGGCCGTATCCTCTCTTCTGACCCAAATGACATAGTCAATGACAGTCGCTTAGGCCCTTCGGATCTTAAAGTCTTGGTTGATGCTGCTACTGAACCAGAAGCATTCCTCTGGCGACCTCCGAGTAACATGTGCACAATTAAGGAAGCAGTGGGTCATATTATTGCATGACCGAAGAATAAATGTGTGGAACTAGGTCTGGGGCTTGATCCAGAAGACATTGCACCACTGGTAATGTTTTTCTATTGCACTCACCTATAAACTAAGTTAATTATTTTCTGCTAAAGAGAATTTTGTTTTCTGAATGTGTTTGATATGGCTCTAGAGAAACTTCTCTCAACAAATGCAAACTACTGGATTTGTCTGATGATGATGTCGTTGTGGGTGAAGGGTGTTAACAGACAAAAGAAGCAAAAGCATTGGTCAATGGACTTCCTCTCGGACCTAAAGCGGTAAAAGTTTTCCTGGATGTTGTACATGAGCAGGGAACATATTTATGGAGGCCTACGATGGATCTTGCATACCTCGACGACTGCGTACACTCTTTTATATCATGGCCTGTTCGGAAAGTTGTCTTTGACAATCCACCAGAAGCAACATCACAACAATCTGCTACTCCAAACACCGTCTCTTCAGTAGGAAGAGAAACATGTATCAAAAATACATCTGTTGGTTCTAAATCTGTAGCAACAACATCAACTCCTACTGAGGAGTCTCCACCATCTGATCAGGTAAATTTATAACTTATAATTTGCATTCATCTGCTTATATTAATCTTTTAGTTTTAAGTAATGCAAATGTCTGTTGAAAAGTGTTTGCATAAGCATCGATCTCAACCAATGAAGCAGAATCAGAAGTGCAAACTGATGGACCTTGGTGAAAAGAAACAAGTAGTAGCTGAAGGTCGTGTGCATTCAACAAACCCATCTCAAATGGTCCATTTTGTGCGCTTGGGTCCGAAAGCGGCTAGAGTATGGGTAGATGCTGTGATTGTCGATGATGCAGAAGTTTGGAGGAAGACAGATGAAATCGAGTGTTTGAAAGATGCACATGGTTCATCGATTGCATGGCCACTTGAAAAATTGGTCACATTCTAAGATACTGTAAGTGTTGTGTTTTGTGTGTTTAAACTGATGAGAGTTTTTATTGCATAACTGATCAGAGTTTATATTGTTGCAGGCTGCAGGGGGGATGAACAACTTAGGTCCAGACTTTGCTAGTTTTAAGCTAGACAAATCAACTTAATGTATGATATTATTTCTTGTTTTTAGTATATGTTTTCAAACGGCATTAGTAACTCTTGTGTAATAACTTATGTAATGACTTATGTATGTGGAACCTATTTTATGAATGAATTTGCTTCGTTATGGATTTCTGGTTTGGTGAAACAAGATTCAAATCATAGCTCTTAGACACAATACAATAGTTTTAAAAAAAGAGTTATATTTTAAGATCACAGAATTTAAAATTTCATACAATTTGAAATATCATAATACTTTTCGAAGCTATTACAATAGGTTAGTATACCATTTCTGAATAGCAATTACCAAAATAAATTATTGATATTGTAGAAGTTTATACCATAGCACCAAATATGTATCGTAATCAGTTTATAGCACCTAATAATCGTGCCATGTATTTGTTAATAACATCACCTAGGTATTGCTATCACAATTTGACTTTTCGTAGCATCAAGAAAAAACGTTATTGTAGGGGGTACCTATGATAGCTACCATATAAATAGCATTTAAGAAAACGCTATCAAACCTCTAACATAGCATATAATCCGCGCTAACAATGAGCATATTTCTTTTAGTGCTATTTTAGCTTCGCTTCAGTTGTTTTTCTAATGATGGCCTACACAGGGACGGACCCACTTAAGAGGTTATGGGGTCAACTGACACTACAGAAATTTTATAAATTAAAGTTTGTAGACAATTGTTTAATAAACAACTGTGGTGCGTGGTAGGAATATGGTGTGTTGAACCCACAGATATTGGGTTCGATACCATCCAACTACCATTTGTAATTTTTTAAAATAATTTACATGGTTTATGACACCACATAAATTTCAGGCTGGGTCCGCCGCTGGGCCTACATCATTGTCAGCGTTGGACTGATAATATTTCTAATAGCCAATAACAAATATTTTATCACGGAAATGTATTGCTTAGCATATATAACAAAATTGTTGGCCGGTTATAAAGACGAACACATGCAATATTACAACTAAGTTACAATATTGGTAAAATATAAGTAACTTTCTATGAATAAGTAACTTTCTATGAGTTATCTCAAACTAATCAACAATAGAAGTATCCATGCAAAAATTTATAATGCCAGACACCACACACTTTATGTACATCGGTTAATTAGTAGTTCAACATAACAGGTAAAATAACAATTCATCAACTGATCAAATAGCAGGTAAATGTATACTTAAATACCAACTAACATGTATAGTATTTAGCTAACCTGTAAAGTATCCGGCTAAATACCAGCTCTTTGTTAGGCGGCTAAAATCATATAGTTGTTAACTGGCTAAAATCATATAATCATATAAAGATAAATACACTGTCTAATTGTTAGCTGACTAAACTAATTTTATATACCATCAACATATATTTTTTAGCCAACTAAGATAATTTAATATCAAGTTGCCATATATGAGGAACGATTAATATTGTTTTAGATTTGAATGATATGACAAGTATGTTTCACTAATTAGGTGTTTGTATCAAGTATATTAAATAGTGTATAGCAATTATCCAGATATAAAATAGTGTTAATTGTTTTTATCAGTGGCCAATAATCACTCTCAGATTAATATTATTTGAATAATTAATGTAGTGTTTTTGGTTCATTCAAAATAAGAAAAAAAAAGCATGCAACACAACACAATTATCTTATAAAATCTACCCATATCTTGTACATGGGCCTATGATATAGCAGTACATATATAAACATAGTTATTTGACTAAAACCATTCTACAATTTATAATTATGGCCCAGTTATAAGAACCATATCTAGTCTTCTTCCATTGTGTTTTTTTAATTCATTCAATGACTTTATTCTTGTTATTTCATTTTCTATGTTCAGAACACTTCACAATCTTAGAAAGCTAAAACATACATAAAAATAGTGAAATAATAACATGTAATGTTTGTAAAAATGATACTAATTACATTAACATTCTTGTATGAGAAGAACAATGAAATGAAGAAAATCAAGAAAAATGAAAAGTATGGAGAGAGAGAAAGAACAAAAATGATTTTTGAATTAATTTTAAATAGTTTCGATTTAATAGTATTTATCTATATACATTAAGTATATATTTTTTTAGGGAAATGATTAGATTGATATCATACTTATATCAATTCAAGTTTTTCTTTTTTAAACATCAAAATGGTCGTTTTGATGTTTAATGGGTTGGGTTTACATCATGGTTGCACTAAAGTTCTATCCTTGCAAATTACTCACTTAGTACGAAGGATGAATATATGTAATTAAAATATAAAATTTTAGTATTGATAAATTTAAATTTATATATGATTGTTTTCATATGTATTTGGAATTTTAGAATTTTTATATAACTATCTATACGTAGAATCAGAAACATTTGTAATTAGAATTTTAGATCAAAACTTAGAATTCAGTGGGTTCAGTTCATATATTTTTTCACATTTCAGTGTTCAAGTGATGGAAAAAAAATAGAGTCTCACAAGGCTTAATTAGTAGAGCATTATCAAGTTTCCTGATGCTTTCTTAAAAAACAGTTGGTAAAATATTTGCATTTAGAATATATAAAGTTTCAAAACTAATTTAATATAATTTATTTATTTGTCTAATAATATTATAAAATTATATTTTTTGAAAATTATTTTTAAATAAAAAATTAAGTTAAATATAAAATTATAATTATGTTTAAAAGAAATTATTTATTCATACGATATGAGATTTATATATTAACATAAACACCTATTAAAATAATATTATTTATTCATATTGTTTTATAATCCTTGTAACTTATTGTAGAAAAAAAATAGACCTTGATCACAAAAGTTTATGTGAGATTTTTAACAGTTTTAGTAATTTATATTCGTTTTGAAATTTTCAAAATACAATGTATATACAAAAAATTATTTTTTTATTATATGATTAGTGTAGTTGTGTAATTTATTTTAATAATTAAAAATTAAACAAAAATGATATAAAATATACCGATTGTTAACCCTCGGAATATTTAAACTTTCCCAACGACTTAATAAAGACTATTATTAACCCTCGGAATGTCGTCGGTATATTCCGACAGAATGTTGTTTCTTCAGAATAACGTCAGATTATTTCGTCGAATTTCTCTTTCTTCAGAATTTCGTCGAAATATTCTGACAAAATTTCGAGGAAACAGGAATTCGTCGGAATAATCCGATAAAATTCCAAAAAAACATAAAAATTGTGTTTCCTCGAAATTTTGTCGGAATTGCATCGGTATATTCCGAGGATATTTTCTTCCGTCGGAATATATCATGTTTTTTTGTAGTGTCAAGATAGAGCCTCTCTATCAGTTGTTAGAGAAGAAAAACTTGCGGTGTTAATTTATAATTTTGATGTGTTTCCGCGACAGAGGAAGGTATGGCTGAGCAATAAGATCGATGATGCGAAAGAGGTGTCTTGGACAAAATTCTTAGTGGATGTTAACAAATTTTGGTTACAAAGATATTTCGAAGGGATGAGTTTTATGGTGGACGAAAAGAATAAAGTGGTAGTCTGTTGTAGTGAAGGCATCAGCGTGGCAGGTGGTGAATATATTTATAAGGTTGGAGAAGATTTTCTTAGACAAGTTTATAAAGAGAGGATTTGTTTTACTTGGGTACGCCCATGTCTCCTTATTTATGTTCCAAGTTTGGCTCACATCCCCAAGTCAAAAGAAGAAGAAAAGCGAGGAGGTTAGTCACAAATGAATCACCTTATAGTTTCTTTTATTTCATTCTAGCTTTGATGATGTTTTCTTTTTGCTGAGGGTATCAATTTCATAAAGTACTATCTAGTTGTGATAAATGGACAAAGCTAGCTTTTATGGTCTCTCTCTTTTGATTTTTTGAATTTGAATTGGTATGCTCAAGATCTTTACTTTTACTTTTGAATGAGTTTGATCTTGGAGAGAAACAGAATCTCTTATTATAGTGCAGACAACTATTTAAGTACCACAACTATAATCTATACATACACAAAAAATATACTTAAAAATGTCTCTGATTGATGGTCAAGACATTGGCAGTGTTCAGTTCCTACAGAGATTTGATGGAATCCAGAGTGATCAGTGCGCTAACGGAAACAGAGTTTTCTTTTTTTATGTCTTAATAAGATTTGCAAAACGGCTTTGATTGGGAAAGTTTTCTTTGCTTTTTGGTTTGTTCTTTATCTTTTTTCTATTCTTTAAAGGTCTTATGAAAAGACATAACAGAAAAGAACACCCAACATTGTTATTCTCTGGTTTATCTTGCTTGCTTCTGTGTTTACTTGTTTTGGTTCGAACCAGTCGCTTCGTCTCTAGGACTGATACGACCTCCTTTCCCTAGAACTGCCTTTTGATCGATTGCTAAGCGATGACTTTATGTATTGCTTTAAAGGGTGGGTTTTTTGTTGTTTATTGTTTTGTAAAACCTTCCTTCTCATGACAGAAGTTTTTCATATGGTTGCTTGATCCAAAAATTAAGTAATATTCTTGTTGTACAAGTTAGGTTTGGGGTCTCTGTTACTTCAACATTTTAAACTAATCTTCTTCACCTTCTTAAATATTTAGAGATATATTTTTTACTTCTTATCAAAAAAAGTGCAAACAAACATTTACAAGAAAATGATTAAAACATGAAATATGTTGGTTACATTTGCAAACATAGAATAATAACCAAGACACTAACATGTAAGGTTGTAAACATAAAATAACAATCGAAGACGCTACAAAAGTCCAAACACCAAATATAGTTATGTTGTTTTATTCAGAGGAATTATTTTTGCTCAAAGTTTTGGTGGAATCCCTCTCATACCAAAAAAAAAAAACTAAAGAAAAAAGCATTACAAATCAGATTCCATGAACAAAAGCATCAATGTCAGATTGAGGAAGGTCATCAAGCAACGAGTCAATGCTACATCCTTCCTCAAGCAGGTTCTCATCAAATCCAAAGTCATCAACAAACACACATTCAGGGACAATCCTGTCTTGTCCATAAAACTTCTCTTCCTTCTTCTTCTTCTTCTCGTCAACCGTCACAACATCTTTCTTCTTGTTACTCTCCCTGCGTCTACCTCTTGCAGGAACAGAAGAAGACGACAAAACTCCCAAATCCAAGCTCTTTATGTAATCCTGCAACAGAGAAGGTCTTGGATACTTAGACCTACACTTTCTCTTAGAGAATTGTCTTCGTTTAGTAGCGTTCCAATGGTTCTTGATCGAGTTCTCTGTTCTTCCAGGGAGTCTTTTTGCAATCTCTGCCCATTTGTTTCCGATCTCTTTATGAAATTCTATCAACACTCTGTCCTCTGCTTCACTCCATGTTTCTTTCTAAGAAAAACATATTTTATAATCTCTATTTAATATTTAGTTTCCATGATCATCATGACATGAATCTTGGTTACTAGTTGTTAATACCTTAATGTCAGGTCTCAAATGGTTATGCCATCTCTCTCTACATTGCTTCCCTATCCTTCCTGGTAACACTTTGGCGATATGTGACCATTTCCGCAATCCGTATTTCTCCACAAGTTGAACCAGTATCCTATTATCAAAATATATTTTATGGTTTTTATTGGTAACAATTGTTAATAATCTTGCATAATGACTATGCAATATATCGTCACAATATAAGATTATGCGATATGATCTTAAGCTTTATGTTGTTAACAAACGAACCTGTCTTCTTCAGCAGTCCATTGTCCTTTGATTAAGGTTGTTTTATTCTTTCCTTTCCATGATGATGAAGACAAGTTTCTGGTCAAAAAAGGATTGGCCTTGTTGAAACTCATCGCTTTATAACAATTATTATCTGCAGAAACACATGAAACTTCATCTGGCATCATCAAGTTCGTAGGCTTGATTATTTCCGTAGGAGGGTATTCAAAAGGGAGCATCCTCATCATCATGTTGTTTTGTTCCAAGTCTATAGGATCATGTTCATCGACCAAACTGATCTCTTGGTGATTATTACGAGTGAAGTACTGATTGTCTGAAGCTTGGAAATGATGATTCTTCAAATGTGGTTTAGATTCATAAAAGTCGACTATGTTTTCTTGGTAAGAGCAATGCTCCAAGGGAGCGTTATTGATACAAGACAACGTCCTCGGCATACCTAGCAAAGGATTTGAAGATGTAGCGCCATGATGATGATGATAGTGATGATCAAACTGATGATCATGATCATGATCAAGATGGTGAAAATCTTGAAGGAAACTTGCGGGCTTTGATTGATCAACGACTTCGAATGGAAAATCTTCTTCTTTCATATGTTCTTGATCATGTGTGAAGTTGTTTAGGTTTAGAGGTGCAAAACCATTCCCGTCGACGTAATTCTCCATATTTTTTGGAAAGAGGAGAAAAAACTAATTAATTAGTGAAAAAAGTGTGAAGTATTTTTTCGTTTTTTGTGTGTTGCTTTGTTCTTTCTCGTATTTGTAAGGTAGGGGATGAATGAAAGACATTTAATGTGTGTTCTTACTATGCCCATTAATTTGTTAGTAAAATATAACGTTTAGAGTTTGTTGTAGCATTAGTGTTATTAAATTTAATTAACAATTAATTAATTCTCAAATGCTTAACTACAATAGGTTAACCATGTCTTAAAAATGGAAGTAAACAATAGGTTAATCAAATTCAAAGTTTTGGACATAGATTGCAGCAAGGAAAGAAAATTTTGTAGCCTATTCAGTGATATATTTTAAACAAATTAATGAAACTATTACTAGATATAGTTGAAGTTTATTTTTCTCTTTAGAATATTGTATTTTTCTCTTTAAAATATTGTAAGATGTATAGTTTTGATGTAAATGTAAGTAATGAAAATGTGAGATAAAAACTTCAGTTGACGTTACACATTGGGTGTTGTTGAATTTGGGGTAAACATAGTTGAATGTTTGTGAAAACGCTAGTATGAATTTAATCTAGCTTTTAATGTGTTAATAATTGATTTATTGTAGATTTATTTAGTCGTGCTTGGTTAATTCCTGACGAAAGAATTGTATTAACTGAGTCAGCAAAAAATATAATTACAATTTTAATGCTAAAAATATTATTTTGACCATTTAGCTATAAGGTCTGGTCTAATAAGATTTATTTACTCGTGTTTGGTTACTTTCTGACAAAAAGTATTAACTGAGTCAACAAAAAATGTAATTACAGTTTTAATGCTAAAAGGATTATTTTCGACCATTTAGCTATAAAGGTCTGGTCTAATAAATTTCTTTTGTTGATCCGAGATTATTTTAGGTAGGATTCTTCGGAGATTTGTCCACCGGCGTCAGACAGATCTAATGCTTGCAAGGGGAATACAATAGCTCTGTCGGTTGGCCACATAAACCTGAGTAAGCTAGGATTCGAATTCAAGTCCTTTAGAGACACTGAGACGCTATTGACCACCTACGGAACCGGTTTAGGGTAAAGGGATGTGTCTTTGGGGCCCAAATTTTTTTGGATAAATAAGGAATCTAATTTCTAAAAAAAAAATAGAAATAGAAAGATTCAAAATATTGGAATTATGATTATATGTATAAAGAAAAGAAGTTTTGCCCAGGGTCTAATGGTTTACTTGAACCGGCTCTGACCATCTGACTACATACGCGTGGTTAGTTTAATAATATTTCAAGAAGAGAAATATCTTAGTTTGACGTACAAAAGATTAGCACCTTTTATGCTGGATTTTGCTTTCGTATGACTATGTAAGAGGTTTCTATATGCATTTATCGTTAATCTAGTCAGTCATAGAAGGAACATACTTAATATTACATAATGGTTTAGATCTCATATATCTTAATCTTGGAACATTACAATCTTTTTTATAGTCACGTGTCATAATGAGAATGATTTTCAGAATTTTTAGAGAAATATGTTGGTCCAACTAAACATAAGTTATATTTTTATTAAACTAACTATCATATTTAATTAGTAGTGTACAAAAGAATATAGTATCTATTTTTTCATTAGATAAAAACTACGAAATTTCCTAATATGATTAACATATATATCATAATTAATGATTATGAATAATAAATATTTGATAACAATTTTTTATCCTTTTTACTTTTTATTTAATTTTATATTATTAAAAGAAATTGAACAATCACATTATTCATATAATAGAAAAATATAGTTTTTTCTTATATGTTATATTTGGAATTTTTTAAATTATCATAAATTACGAAAGGTGGTAAAAATATCACACCATGAATTACTAAAGGTGGTGAAAATGTTGTGATCAATGATAACATATTTTTAGTTCAGTCAACCGTTTTTAATGGGTTTTAAATAATTTTTAATGTTAACTAAATAAATCACATACAGAATAAAGTGTGTTTTGGTTTAAAAATTGTTGCATACCGAAATCAATATGAATCGTCATCTCTTTCGTTTAAAATTTTGTTACAATAAAAAATATAGGATTGAGCAAAAAAACTGAATCCAAATAACCGAACCAAATATAATCCAAAAAAAGTACAGATCTTTAACCAAAATTGGTTAGATATCCAAACGGATTCAAAATTTTGGTATCTAGAGAACGGAAACAAAATGGAAATATTTTGGGTATACGAATGTACTCGAACCAAATTTATATACTTAAAATACATGATTTATTTTTAAATTTAACATCTAAGAATATAAAATACATGAGATGTTTTAAAATTATCCAAAATACTTAGAAATATATATAATAGTTAAATGTACATTTTAAAAATAGCTAAACG